TTATATATGTATGTATACACACACACACACACACACACTCAAACACACACACACACACACACACACCACACAACACACACACACACACACACACACACACACACACACATATATATATATATATATATATTATATATATAATATATATATATATTTGAGTGTGTGTGTGTGTGTGTGTGTGTGTGTGTTGGTGTTGTGTGTGTGTGTGTGTGTGTGTGTGTGTGTGTGTGTGTGTGTGTGTGCGTGTGTGTGTGTGTGTGTGTTTGTGCGTGTGTGTTGTATAATATATATATATAATATATATATATATATATATATATATATATATATATATATATATATTTATACAAGGCGTTATCTACCATGTGCATGTGTGCCTGTTAACGAACGCCACAATGGCTGTTACTTTAAAATTACGTTAATTCTTCAAGAAAAGAGTAATTCATCAATATAATTACAGGAAAGAATTAAAGAGGAATAATTACAGGAAAGAATTAAATTTGACAAAGCCTTTTACATTTTCAAAATAATAAGCTTAGACCAGCTATGCAGCTATAAAATGATATTCCTCAAGATGCCTGTATCTAGCGCCGGGAGAGCGGGGGGGGGGTGCAGCTGTAAGTAGATTTTCTGAGTTCTTTCCCGTCAGAATAACTTGCCTTTTAACTCTCCGCTGAAAGAATTTCATGCGCCCTTACGACCAGTATTATTTTCACAGCCTGATAGGTACATCTCCATATTCAAATGAGTCGGTATAAAGCAATTGTTAAATGTCTGCTCCAGTGAGCTGTAATCGATGTTTTTCTTTTTTCGTTATTGCCAAAATGATTAATGATAATGATTAAAAACTCCAGATGCTATTCCCATTTGGAAGCGGTGGTTGAAGTAACAATGAGAAAACCTAGAATTGATATTGAACATGACAGTGATAATGATGATAATGATGTTAGTGAAAGTGATGATTATGATGATGATGAAGAGGAATGATGACTATGGTGATAACAAAATTGGGATGAAATTGATAATTGCTATGTTTTTTTTCAAGAATGATAATGATGATAATTGAAAAAAATCATGACAGAATGATGATAATATTGATAACACTAACAAGAGCAATAATAATGATACTAATAATATTCTCCTCGTGAATAATAAATACTTATTATATCATTATCCTAACAATTTGAAATGCAAATTCAACCATTTCCTACAAAAGAAAAACCTTCCTTTGCGCATAACAGCTGAACAAATCAAACGCAACAAAGCATTATCAAAGTCAAAACACTGCAAACGGAAACTGATGTTAATCCTTTGGAACAAAATGCATCAGGAGCCAAATCCGCCACAGAATAAATACACAGGTCAAAGCTGTAAACCCGAGCCGCCTTTTAAGCTTATATAAAGTGTGTTCCGAAAAGGGAATAAAGTTTTTGATCGCTTATTGTAGGTATGTCCTAGCGGTGAATTCCGTTTCATATCGTCTATAAATATGTTTCATTTTGATTATATTGTGGACAGAAAAAACGTTTTTTTTATGCGAAACTGATTTGATTTGTATATTTCCATTAATGTTTTAGCTATACAGATAGAAATTGGTGATTCTTACAATTACTATTGCAATATGCAACTCCATCTGATATTATTCATATTATTAGTTAATACAATTAATGCTTATTAGACTATTGTCACACACCACACACACAGGAAATGCGTGTATAGGAAAGGTCAGTAGGAAAGAACATTTTATTTACATAGCATTTCACTGCACAATTGCGTTATTATGCTTTACATTGTGAATATACAGATTTTTTAAGACTTGAGTCTATAAGCCTTGTCCGTGTGGTGGCAAGAGAAAGGGGGGAAGTAGAGAGGGAGGGAAAGAAAAACAAAGAGAGAGAGGGGAGGAGCAAGAGAGAGAGACAGACAGAGAGAGAGAGGGGGAGGGAGGGAGAGAGAGAAAGAAGAGATTTACGGAGAAAAAGAGAGTAAAGTAACAAACGATAGAGAGTATAGGTGACAGAAAGAGATAGAAAAAGAGCGATATAAAGAAAACAGTCACAAAATAGAATATATCTATATCTACATCTATATCTATATCTATATCTATATCTATATCTATATCTATATCTATATCTATATCTATATCTATATCTAATCTATATCTATATCTATATCTATTATCTATCTATCTATCTATCTATACTATATATATATATAATATATATATTATATATATATATATATATATATATATTATGTTTGTGTGTGTGTGTTGTGTGTGTGTGTGTGTGTGTGTGTGTGTGTGTGTGTGTGTGTGTGTGTGTGTGTGTGTGTGTGTGTGTGTGTGTGTGTAAGGAATAGATAAAGAAAGAAAGAAAATGAGATCCCCCTCGCCCCACCCCAATTCACCCGCCCATAACACCCAAAAAAATCTCCCGAACTGATACGGCGGAAACGAACACGTCAGCACACGAGAACATCCGAACGCCTTATTACAGATTACCCGGATGTCTCAGCTCAGATCACACACACACGCGCGCGCGCGCACACACACACTCACACACACACACGCGCGCGCGCGCACACACATATACACACGCACAAACATACACACACACACACACACACTCTATCTATCTATCTATCTATCTATCTATCTATCTATCTCTATCTCTCTTTTCTTTCCCAGGTCAATAACGTGACATCGGATTCTCTACTTCTTCTCTGGGCGCGAGAAGACGGCGGGAAGAAGGTGTCTGGTTATACTATCAAATATTGGAGCGCCGATGATAAGAAAGTGCAGGTAAGAGCAATATTACTTTTTCTTATGTTTCCTTCTTCTTTTTTTCTTTTTCTCTTTTTTTTTGGGGGGGGGGGATGGCGCTTTTTTTCTTTTGGGGTTAATGATGTGTTTTCTTTCTTTTTTCTTTTTTTGAGAGGTTTTGATATATTTCTTTAATATATAATATATATATATATATATATATATATATATATATAATAAATAGCTCATAAAATACACTAAAATGCTTCGGTTTGAAAATTGGTTCTATATTTGCCTCAGCGTATATACACATAATCATATACACAGTTATACCCAAATGTATATACTCATACCATACATAATTTGTATGGGTGCGTGTGTGTGCGTGTGTGTGCGCGCGCGCGTGTGTGTGTGTTTGTGTGTGTGTCTCTGTGGGTGTGGTTTGTGTGTGTGTCTGTGTTCGTGTGTGGTGTGCGTGTGCGTGTGCGTGTGCGTGTGCGTGTGAGTGTGCGTGTGCCTATGTGTTGTGTGTGTGTTTTGTGTCTGTGTATCTGTGTGACTGTATTTGTGTGTATATGTATCCATGTATTTAAGTTCATTTACCCAGTACATATGTACATGAAAAAGCGTTGTTGAAATACAAATTTCAACAGAGCTTCGAGATAAAAAAAAAAAACTAATACCCCAAATCTTGCAACAGTGCGGTGCTTTGGGTCATCTAACACAGCGTGCACAGAACAAATGACGCCCATTCGAGTTCATTAGTCTCACAGCAATTATGCAGTGTTGGGCAATCCACAGGGAGAGAAAGGGGGGGAGGGGAGGGGAGCCAGAGGAAGGGAAAGCGAGTCACACACAAATGTCGTTTTGTTATTTTATTAACCGGGATTAAAAGTTCGGCTTATTCTTTCCCCCTTTGTCCTTTCCCCGAGGCTCCGAAATGAAGTACAAAACTATTCTCATATCAACAGCTTTGGGTACTTAATCCTCACAAGAGTTTTGAAATAAAAAAAATCCTGACGTACACTTGCCTGATTTTACCAACCCGACGTCCACAGGAAAACAAAGATACGCCACTCGAAGTTTATAACAATCAGCGCCATCTGTGAGCGTTATAATCAACACCACCTGCGAGTAACATTTCACCTTGGGTACTCATGTCTTTCTCTTTTCTTTTTCCTTGACAGTACATCGACGTGAGTGGAGGCAATGTCACCAACATAGTAGTGCGTGGCTTAATTCCAGCCACGAAATACCAGTTCACAGTCCAAGCTTACAGTGAGCAAGGACGGTCTCGTTTCGCCACGCCTACGGTGCCAGTTACGACTCTTGGTAATCCTTTTGCTCTTTGCTCGTTCTTATTTGTTCCCTTGTCTTGTCTTGTGTTACTGTATTTGGGGAAAATATGTATGATGCCTGGTGGTGCTAGTAATAATGGTGGAGAATCTGTAGGGGTTGTGATAGTAGCAACTAGTAGTAATAGGAACTAATGTAGCAATAACTGCAGTAGTTGTAATGCCAGTGCTGACGGTGGAAATAGCAGTATTCGCAGTAACAGTCGCAGATGTAGCTGTGGTGACGTTATAAGTAATAATGACTGTACACGCAGTGGTGTTAAAATAGTAGCAGGTATAGCTAAAATGTTACAAGTATAGTACCAGCAGTACTTAAAGTATTACTTTTATACTATGGGCGCATTCTACTTAATAATTAATTGCATCAGTGACCCTCTGGCCCGGGCGGAGTGCTTCATGTTTTATATACGGGAATTGAAATGCTAGAGATACCATTCTTGCTCTTCTATAAGGGAACTGAAACGCTAGAGCATGTTCCCAACCGAGGAGTCAAGGCCCCACGGGTCATGGATACTTTCCGGAGGGGGGGGGGGCATGGAGAAATATGGTTAATGACCGAATTGGATTTTGTCTCACTTACAGTACTTACATATCTCGTATAACAATATATTGGAATATTTCCATATAGTGTTCTAGTCCAATAGCTGTTAGCACCATTGCACTATTCACAATTAGTAGTAACTGAATCTGAAAAGATAACAAACACTGAACGGGACCACGGGAATATATTGTTCGGGGGCCGCAGGATAAAAAACAGGATATAAAAAGTTGGGAACCGCTGCGCTGAAGATGCCTTCCTTAATTGACTAAAGGGGAACTGACGCTCCCAATGCATTCCTCTGCTTAATTACCGGATCCCTGCCATGACTCAGCGCGCGCCG